TATATATATATATATATATATATATATGTGTATATATATATTTATATATTTATATGTATATATGTATATATATATATATATATATTACATTTTTGGAGGCCTCATATGTATATATCAGTATATACATATACATACATACATACATATATATATATATATATATATATATATATATATATATATATATATATATATATATATATATATATATATATATATATAAATATATATATATATATATACACATACATAAATACACACATTTATCTATATACATAATCAAAATAATAATACAGTTCAAAATGATATGAATATTTTAATCCCTTTGGACAGTTTCCTCTTGGTCACGAGTTCAAAGACATGAGTCAGACAAGGGGTCCAGATCAATTTTCCTTGCAATTTGCAGCTGCCTTATCAATTTATCCTGGTAGTCACCAATTCCTGTAAGTTATTCCTTTATCATTGTAATGTTGATGACATATTTAACCAACATAGTTAACAGATTTCATGTGCTATGGTCAGCAGCCAAGTAAATATGGCAGGCATCAAGACGCAACCATCGTCTGACGCTGAGCCTCCCAAATTTACTCCTTCCTACTGAAAACCAGTTGAAGCTCATGTGACAAATCAGAGATCAAAGGGTTAAGTAGTCGCAGGAAATGGTTAGAAGAAGCTCTGCGTGAGGCGCTGCTGAAAGGAAGAGAAGAAAAAGGGGGCGTAGAGAAAAAAAAAAAACACAAAGAAAACGAAAAAATACCAGATATATACATATGTACACTTTTAATTTTGACAAGAAAAAGTCTCTGATATACTTGCAAGATATCCAGAGCTGCACCTTAAAAGAAAGAAAAAGAGAAAGAAAGAAAGAAAAAAAAAAACACACATTTACCTTGGGACTTGCATTAATTAAGTTTCAGAAAATGCTAAGTCAACTTCATCAACTGCATTAACACACAGAAGGCTCCACAAGTACTTAGTCATCTGGGAGTCAATTACTAGTCATACCTATCTGACCTATTCACCCTTTTCCTTAATCTTTGAAAACTTTTTTTTTATTGCTAACACTATTTCAAAACCAACATAATAATCATAATGTCAATAATAATAATAATAATAATAATAATAATAGTAATAATAATAGCAGGATCAATTTCATTTGCATTTGAAAAAACATTTTACCAAAAATTTGAAGAAGAGGGAGATCAGGAGAGGTCACACTGGGACCTACTAGTGTACTCCCTGGTGACTGAGCATTTGTGTAAAATTAAATTCCCTAAAAATAGAGTGGATAGCACATGTACCTGTGGCCAATAGGTTAATTCCTTAAAATCCATATATATAGCTGTAGGTAAGAGAAGTAACTACCTCCTTGGAGACTACGCACTTGTGGAGCCATCTATGAGCCTCGAACATAATAGAACAAAGGAATAGAAGCTTACTTACATAAACACCTAACTCTCTGCTACTGCGTCTGATTGGTTACAAACCTGCGTGCGATAGTGGAAACTGGTGATAATGAAACTTACAAATTCTTGGGACTCTGACTGACTCTTGGGTAGATGATTTACCCTCATATTTTAAAACATTTTCCTCTAAATACTGTGCCAATATCACATGTAACAAATGGAGAATATAAAACAAAATGTGTGCTGAATGTATTGAGAACATAAAACAACAAATTATATATTAAATTTATTGAGAACATCAAATAACATAAATGCTGAATTCATTGAACAAAAAGCAACAAAATAAATACTGCATCTATTGAGAACAGAAAAGATCATCAATCCCTGATTATCAATGGACAATAATGTAGAGACTGGCATAATGCTATGTGAACAGCCTATACAATTTCAACATAACTGATGAACTAATTTTATTCGCAATAGCAAACATAGAGGCACGTTAGCAGAGAGTTGTACACCTTCGAGATTCACAAAAGTGGAAAGCACAATGCAGCGCCACGGAAGCTTCTAAATCTCAGAAGCCAAGAAAATAAGGCTGGCCACACTCTTGCATATGGAGACAGAATGTACAAGATTCTTTCTTTCACATTTTCCCTTTTATCTCATATTACTGGAGGGGCTTAAAACAATAATGAGAGAGAAATGAATAAAGGGGGACAGGGAAAGGAAAGGACAGAAACAATTCTATCCAAATAATGAAATCAAGAAAAGAACAAATAAAACTAGCAGGTCATAAGATTCTTTGGTTTACAGTTCCTCTCAGAGAGGTAATCACAAATTGGTGATACATACCATGTGATTAAGAGCAACTGTCCTGAAATCACTCAAAACACAGGCATGCATGAGGGACAGAGAGAGAGAGAGAGAGAGAGAGAGAGAGAGAGAGAGAGAGAGAGAGAGAGAGAGAGAGAGAGAGAGAGAGAGAGAGGTGAATTAAATCTTTAAATGTTTTTCTTTCCTTCTTTGGCTTTTGTTGGTCATTCACTTCTCCAGTAACAAGAATTTTCATTGTAATCTGGAATTACACCAAACTA